CCAATAGAACTACTGGTAGTTTCAAACTACTGACCTTGAGGTTAGCAGCCCAATTCATAACCACTGCGCTACAAGCGCTCCTTAAGTGATCTACAGGTATAATGCAATTCCAATCCAAACTCCATTTATATTATTGATGAAGATAAAAAATATACATCACTATCTGAGGAAGAAAAGGTAGGATTACTCACATTTCTCAAAGTACAAAACCTACTCTATAGCTATAGTAATTAAAATAGCATGGAATTGTTAATGACAGACCAATGCAAAATAATTGAGACTTCAGATGTAAATCACTTCACCTATGGACAGCTGATCTGTAACAAAAGGAATAAATTCCTTAAATGTGGAAAACATAGTTTCTTTCACAAATGGTACTGGCAAAACTGGGTTTACATTTTCTAATACAAGATCCTCACCTCATAACATAAGTATTTTATGTCCACTTCCAGCAAGCAAGGTTGTTCATGAGTCTTCCTCCAATCCTGAAATCACATATTTCTTTATATAATCCAGTAAGTAGGGTGAAAGGATACAACCCTGGTAGTTTTTTTGTTTTGTTTTAGCATTTAAAGCCATTCAGTTTCCCATTGATCTATTTGAATAGCTGCCTTTTAGTCTATGTACAGGTCCTTATGAGCACAATGAAGGGTTTTGTGATACACATTTTTCACAATGTTATATATGTTGCTGTTGTTAAGTGCCGTGGAGTCGGGTCCGACTCATAGCGACCCTATACAGGGTTTCTGAGGCTGTAAATCTTTACGGGAGCAGAAAGCATCATCTTTCTCCCGTGGAGCAGCTGGTAGTTACGAACTGCATAGCTTGTCATTATCTACGTAATCGAAAGCCTTTGCATAATCCATAAAACACAAGTAAATATCCTTCTGGTATTCCCTACCTTCATCCAAAATCCATCTGACATCAGCAATGGTGTCCTTAGTTAGATGTCCTTTTCTGAATCCATTTTGAATTTCTGGCAGTTCCCTGTTTGATGGACTGTTGCAACTGTTTTTGAATGATCTTTAGCAAATTTTTACTTGCATGTAATATAAATAATATTGTTTAATGATTTCCATATGGAATTGGTACAAATATGAATCTCTTCCAATTGGTTGGCCAGGTAGCTGTCCTCCAAATTTATTGGTATATATGAGTGAGTACCTCCAATGCTTCATCAGTTTGTTGAAATGTTTCAATTGTATTCCATGAATTCCTGGAGTCTTGTTTTTTTGCCAACAACACCTTTAGTGCAGCTTGAACTTCTTCCTTCCTTCAGTATCATTGGCTCCTGACCAGATATACCTCTTGAACTGGTTGAGTATCTTTTTGGTACAGCTACTGTGTACTCATTCCATCTCCTTTTGATTTTTCCCCCATAGAATTTTTCAACATTTCAAGTTGAGATTAGTCTTTTTCTTTAGTTCTTTCAGCTTGAGAAACGCTGAGCGTGTTCATTCATTTTGCTTTTCTAACTTCAGGTTTTTGCACATTTCATTATAATCCTTCACTTTGTCTTCTTGAGTTGCTCTTTGAAATTTTCTGTTCATATCTTCTGTTTCCTCATTTCTTCCATTCACTTATCTTTTAATGACTTTTTGTTTTCTTCACATATGATGTTCTTGAGTCCACAATTTTTCTGATTTTCAGTTATTTGTGCCTAATGCATTTAATATGTTTTGAGATGGTCTCTAAATTCAGATGGGATATATTCAATGGCATATATTGGCTTTTATGAACTTGTTTTAAATGTCTTTAGCTTCAACCTGAACTTGTATATGAGCAATTTATGATCTGCTCCACACTCAGACCCTGGCCTTGTTTTGGCTGATGATATAGGGTCTTCCCATAGATATAGCCAATTTTATTCTTGTGTATTCCATCTGGTGAGGTCCATGTGTATAGTCACTTTCTGTATTGTTTTTTAAAATTTTTTTTACAATTTATAAGTCATTGGTTTTACAGAATTCTATCATGCATATGCCAATAGCATTTTAATTACCAAGGTCATATTTTCCAACTACTGATCCTTATTCTGTGTTTCCAGCCTTCACTTTCTAATCATCAATAATTATCAATGATTGATAGCATGTTTGACCAGTTTTCAATGGAAGAAGTTGGTAGAATTATTCAATTTCATCATCACAGGCTTATGAATTGGTGCAAAACTTTGAATAATAGTGGTGCTTACTGGTCTTCCATATAGGCCTATGGATAGTGTCCTATCACAGAGAACATTTTGCTTTAAGATAAATATTGAAATGTTCCTTTTGATGATGAGTGTGATGCCATTCCTCTTGGATTTATCTTTCCAGGCAACATAAAACCATATAATTGTCCCATTTAAAATGGCCAATACCAGTCTGTTTCAGCTCACTAATACCTAGGATATTGGTCTGTATGTGCTCCATTTCAATTTTAATAACATCCAATTTTCCTTGATTCATATTTATTCATTCCATGTTCCAATTAGTAATAGATGTGTACAGCTGTTTCTCCTCATTTTGAATTGTGCCCCATCAGCAAATGAAGAACCCAAAAGCTTTGCTCCATTCTTGTTACTACAGTCAATTCTACTTTGAAGAGACAGCTTTTCCCCTGTGTTTTTTTTAATGCATTCCAACCTGAGGAGATCATTTTTTGACACTATACTTTACAATTATCTGTTGCTATTCATAATGTTTTCATCTTCTGGCACTGTATCTCAAAATTTTCCATTGCTCTTCACAAGATTTTCATTGCCTAAATATTCATAAATAGCTTGTCTCTCCCTTCCTAGTTAGTCTTAGTTTGAAAGCAATGTTGAAACCTGTCTAGCAGGGTAACCCTGCTGGTATTTAAAATACTGTTGATATAGCTTCCAGCATTATAGCAACATACAAGCCACCACAGTAATACGAAGTGACAGCCATTCGAGAGATATAAATCAAAACAACCATGAGCTATCTTCAGAACCCTGCATTAAAAGTAAAGTTCAACAAACAGAAAACAGCAAGTGCTAGCGAAAGCAAAGAGACATTAGAATGCTCATACACTGCTGCTGGGACTGTAAAATGGCACAACCACTATGGATAACAGTATTGTTGTTAAGTGCCATTGAGTTGACTCTGACTCATAGCAACCCTGTACAAGGTTTCCAAGGCTTTAAATATTCTCAGGAGCACAAAGACTCACCTTTCTCCCAAATGGATATCAGTATAAAACATCTGAAAAAGTTGGAATCGAAATACCATTTGATCCAGCAAGGAGATGTTGATACAGAGTTAAAAAAAAATATATATATTAATTAATGATTGCAAATGATGTAGAGAGGGAAGGGAAAATCACTATCTAGCTAACAGATACATTGATCTGGCTGAATGTAAAGGTAATATAGAAAGAGGGAGTGATTAGCATAATATCATTAAAGAGAAGGAACACATGGATATGTGTTCATGAATTACAGACAACACAATAAATTCTAACCCTGGTACACAGTCTTGCATTGTCAGTAGTACAAACCATTGATCTATAAGTGGATACATAGCAGATAGGCCAGACAAACAGGTATGAATACTATATTCATAATCACATATAAAGTTGGCATATAGTATTTCTATATATGCATTTGTGTAGGCTAAACACTGACTTCTAATCACAAGCTTGGTGATTCAAACCATCAGCATTCCTTGGAAACTCTACAAAGGGTCACTATGAGTCAGAATTGACTCTATGGCACTAAACAACAACACTTGTATGTGCTGTTAATATAGCCATGTATAAAACAGAACAATCATGGGGCAAAGGTATGTAACCTTGTTGTTATTAGTTATGGAGTCAGTTCTGACTCAAACTTGTATAGGGTTTCCAATGAGCAGCTGGCGGGTTTGAACAGCTACTTTGTGGTTACCAGGACAATGCTTATCCTACAGTGTCACACCAGGACTCCATACCTGAATACCAGGAGAGAATGAGTTGGTTGCTCTGGAGGCTTAGGATCATAGTCTCAGTGGATGTGAAGATCAACTGACAGAACATAGTCCAGGAAGACAGTGTCCTACATTCTCCTTTGGTGAGTAGTAATGGGATCTTAAACACTTGTGTGTGGTCATCTGAGGTACAAATATTGCTCCCTATCCACAGCAATCAAGGGTGAAGAAAATCAAAGATGCATAGAAACAATGAATCCAATGAGCATGCAAAACTCAGCCTCTATGACCCTCAGCCCAGAAGAATTAGATGGTGACCAGCTACTACTACTGACCAGTCTGAAAGGGATCACAATAGAGGGTCCTGAATAGAGTGGGAGGAAAATGTAGAACAAAACCTGAAATATAAAGAAGACCAGGTTTATTGGTCTGACAGATATTGGTGAAACTCCCAAAACTATGGCCCTTAGTCACTCTTCAGGCCTGGAACCAAACTCACACCCCTAGTTCAACTTTCAATCATGTGACAGACAGGCCTATAAACTCACTAAAACCAAACCCACTGCTATTAAGTCAATTCTGATTCATACTCACCCTACAGGGCAAAGTAGAGCTCCTCTATAGGGTTCCCATAAAGCAACTGGTAGATTTGAAATACCAACCTCTTGGTTAGCAGCCCAATACTTGGTCCATTATATAAAGGGCTCCTTTATAGGCAGACCTTTACGGCAAGCAATAACAACAGGGAGCTATACACACTTTAGAACAATCAATCATTTGAGATAAAAAAGACGACATTTGTTCAGGGATAAAACTCGGAAGGCAGGATGGGGTAGGAAAGAAGGCGTTGCTACATTGTGGGGCTTGCAATGAATGTCACAAAACACAATGTTTATGAATTATTGAACGAAAAACCAATTTAGCCTGTGAACTTTCACTCAGATCACTATAAAAAAAATTGGTGTTCTTCACTACTGATGAGAATTCCATTTTGTTCCTGAAAGAAAAATTTTTTGAATCTTTTGACTGTTTTAAATGTAATATTTCTCAGTAATGGGGGGAAGAAAACTGTAAAATAATCTCAAAACTTACTGTTAGGATGATCTTGGTCACTCATAGAATTGTCTGCTACTTCATCTTCTTTTGCACTGTTATCCTTTGTAGAATCTGACACAAGAAACAAGTCAAACCATTAGCGCTTTTAACTGAGAAATAGATTCCGCTTCCAACATTAACATGGTAGACAGATCTACTATTTATTATATTATCATTTTGGGGGGAAAAACAACAACATTGGGGACTTCTGGCAAGACAGTAGACTAGGCAGATACACTATTCAGATCCTCTACAACAAGGAGAGAAGAAACCAAATGAAACAGGTATGGATGATAATAGCAGATAATCCCAGAGTTTCAAAGGAAAGGATGAAAAAGTGAATCAAATCTGCTTAGTAAGAAGAAATTACATAAAAACAATGAACAAGGAAACAAAAGGAACAGTGAATTGTCAACCTCTACCCATGTCCACAGAATGGCCAGAAACACCCCTTTCATAGCCCTATGCGCATCAAAAGGTTTCACTAAAAGAGTAAAAAGAAACTACAGACAGGCAAAATTGGTAATGCCATATCAGTCAAGGGGATAATATATTAGAAAACTTCAACATCTAAGCAAAAAATCCAATTTAAAAATGGAAAGAGGACATGAACAGACCTTTCACCAAAGATATTCAGACAAACAAATACGTGAAAAAATGCTCCCAATTATAAGTCATTTCAGAGACTTATTAAAATTAAAACAATGCAGTATGTTCTGGTGAGGAGTAGAAAGACTAGAATCATCATAAACTGCTGGTGGGACTATATAAATAGGTACAATTACTGTGAATAATGTCACTTCCTTAAGAAGTTGGGAATAAAAATACCATACGATCCAACAATCCCATTATTTGGTATATATCTTAGAGAAATAAGTATATGCACACCCATGTTTATGGTGGAATCCTGGTGTGGCACTGTAGGGTAAGCACTGAACAGCAAGGTATACTTGAATCATAAGGTCAGCAGTTCAAACTCACAAGCCTCTTGCTTTCAGAAACCCAATACACGGTTGCTATGAATATAAAACACCTCAATGGTACTTAACAACAACATGTTCATTGTAGCATTATACACAATAGCAAAAAGATGAAGCCCACTTAAATGCCCATCAAGAGACAAATGAATAAACAAACTAAGGTGTGCATGCACATACAATGGAATACAAAGCAATGTCAAAGAATAAGGAGAAATCTATGAAACATCTCATAATATGGATATACCTGTAGGATATTATGCTAGTGAAGTAAGTCAATTACTAAAGGACAAATATTATGTGAGATCAGTATTATAAAAAGCCAAGAAATGTTTTCACACTAAAATAACCATTCTTTGAGAATTTCTATAGATTAGAGGAGAAGATAGGATAAAACTAGATTGTTATTGTTGTTGAGTGCCATTGAGTCGATTCTGATCCATAGCGACCCTGTATAGGGTTACCAAGGAGCAGCTGGTAAGCTTGAACCACTGACCGTGCAGTTCAAACAACTTTACAGTCTGACACACTAGCCCACAATGCCACACTAGGACTAGGTAGACACATATTAATTTGGGTGAGGAAATATACAACAATATCAACACTGCAAGGAATGCAAGACTCAAAGGCAACAGTTGTATGCCTAACCATCTACGAGTAAATTCATAGATAGACATACACACTGAATGGGTGTTAGAAGGCGAATGGGCCTATACCCATGACTATATACAGGTTTAACAGTGGAAATTTCTAGATATGTGTGCATCCATGCTGTAAATATATCTATGAATGTAGTGAAGCATACGTGGTAAAGTCATGAAAACTCTTCAGACATAACAAATCACCTTGTGGATATGTTGTACTAGGCTTGGGGGCTCAGGAATATACTCTCAGGGGACACTAAGGCCAATTGGCAAACAGTCCACAAAGACAATATTGCACATCTTAGTTTGGTGAGCAGAGACTGAGGTCTTAAAATTTTATGAATGGCAGCCTATTAGTCTCTGGAGCAAGGAAAAGTGATGAAAATTGAAGACACATGGAAACAATTTGTCCAAAGGACTAATGGATCACTTGAACATCAACTTCCAGGACATTGAACTAGGGAGTACCTGGCTACTACTACCAACTGCTCTGAAAGGGATTGTATTAGAATATCCTGAATAAAGTGGGAGAAAAATGTGAAACAAAACTCAAAATCATAAAAAAGCCTAGGCTTACTGGTGATATAGAGACTGGTAGAAACTACAAGACTGTGGTCCTTAGTCACCTTTAGGTCTGGAACTGAAGTCTCCCCTGTGGATCAAAGTTTAGCTAAACAAAAGACAAATCTACAAGGGGAACAATAACTGGGGAGGTACACACTGCTTAGACTAACCAACCACTGGAGATCTAAATGGCAATATTTTTCCAAGAACAAAGTGAGAAGGCAAGAAGGATTAGGAAAGAAGGAATAATAGATTCGGGAAACACAGTGAGGAAGTGGGATGAATGATGTTACATTGTGGAGATTCCAATCAATGACACAAAACAAAATGTGCGTAAATTGTGGTTTACAAAGCTGATCTGCTCTGTAAACCTTCACCTAATTCTCAACAAAATGTTTTAAAAGACTTAAAAATACTTATTTTCATCAATAATTGACTCTTTAAAAAATAATACCACATAAGGTGTTTGTACAAAGTTGATCGAGAATATAGGGATGTAGTTTGGACATCTTTTGGCCACAAAGAAGAACATAAAAGCAGCCATTTTGCATTAGTGCAAGTCTTAGGGGAATAGTATGAATGAATATGAAAGGAAGGCGAAATAGAGGAGATTAAAGGAATATCTAATTTTAATGCTCTTAATGCTTCTATTCCTATGGAGTTCACATATACGAGCCTTGAGTCCTTGAAAGAATCAGATAGAGAGTCTTAACTTCTAGTAGTAATTAAGTTCATCTTCCTCAGGAACCTTACCAACAGAACAATAGCAATGAAAAAATGCAAACCTTCTCTTCTGTGTAAAACATCCCATCCTTTGTGCAGCACATTTGAACATGAAATCAGCATGAGCTCATTTTTTGTTGTTACATGATATACTTTAAAGAAAACACCATGCAAAAAGGATTTTGATGACTGGATGCTTCTTGCACAGCTCAAAGAGATCCTCTGTTAAATGTTCTGAGACTCTTTAAAATTGTTTAAAGGTTCTGGAGACTTTAAAAATCCACTGGTGAGAGCATAAGAGGAAGTCAGCATAAAGACACAAAATCGGTCTTTCATTGTATGTACTTATCAAGAATAATTGCTGGGAAAGAGCATTATTTTTTGTAAAGTAGTTGTTGTTACTGTTCTTAAATGCCGTCGAGTCAGTTCCAACTCATAGCAACCCTGTACAGGGTTCCTGAGGAATGGTTGGTGTGTTTGAACTACCAACCATTTATTTAGCAGTCCAGTGCTTCTCCTACAGCACCACACCAGGTACAGCAGAGCATCATTGAAAATGAGGAAACCGTCAATGAGATGGATTGACAGAATAGTCACAAGAATGAAATGAGATATAGCAAGGGTCATGAAGGTGGCCTAGGACTGAGGGATTCTTTGTTCTGTTAGAAACAGTCTGAATGAGTCATAGCTGACTCAATGGTAACTATTGGTAACACAGGACAGACACTGTCTTAGACAGGGAAGTCAAGAATCAAAACATAACAAGCAAATAAACAAAAACCCATACATCAAATTTCTGCCTTCAAGGAGTTTACAATCAGATAGATACTTTCATTCAGCTAAAAGGCTAGTAATCCAAAAATGTCTACTAGCTAATCTGTATACATACAGCCATGAAAAGAGAGGAGATGGTAGGTATAAACCTCTCTTACCTAAAAATTAACACTGACAGAAAAAAACCTACTGGTTTTCTCTATCCAGTTCAACCATCTCATTGAGTTTTAACTCCTTAACAGCAGAATCAAATGTCCTGGTGTGGTGCTGTGGAAGGAGCACTGGATCTTAAGGTCAGTTTGAGCCACAGGTCGGCAGTTCAAATTTATAAGCTGCTCCTCAGAAACACTACACAGGGTCATTATGAGTCGAAACCAACTAGATGGCATTTAACATCAACAACAGCAATAGCAAAATCAGTTGAAGTCTAAAGTAAATTCTTGTTTAGTTTTTCTTTCCTTCCTTATAAAACTGAAATGTAGCTTTAAGCAATATGATATAAAATATTATAAGAAAATTTGTTTCTTGAATCTGCCATAAGCAACATTTGATGAACAAGTGAGAAACCTGGGTAGCTAACATATGATTCAGATTTAATAAGCAGTGAAGCAACTATACACCCAAAGTGTGTGGTTTTAATTAACTGCAAATAATCCCCCAAGGGAAATGTTTAATTATCTGCACAGCTTCTTATTTATTTCTGAGACTGACAATAAGTTTAAAAGTCCAAATTTGGAAGCAAAACAGCATAGACACATTTCCAAAGTGTTAGCTCACTCATGTCAAATTGTTTGAAGCCAGCTTCCATTAAAGTATGCCTTTTTAGTTTTGTAGCCAAAATGTGAATTCAAAAAATAGCCTTTGAATATAATTTTTCACATTAACATTGAAAATAAACAATGATTTTAAAAGGTTCTATCTTGAACAGACTAAATTTTAATTTTGAAAGTGTTTTAGTATTGCTTATAGAAAATTATCATTCAATATTGAGCCATATACAACACTCGGTTCTGTCAACATTAACTTTTAAAGATTTTGCCTGTAGCTTGTGGTGCAGTGCATTGCTTTCATAGGGCTTTTCTATTTATGATCTTATAACTTCCACAAAATGATTTTCCTGGCTATAATCTTGAAAGGGATTGGTCAGTTTACTATGTACATCATTGTTATGTTGTAGTTAAGTGCCATTGAGTAGGTTCTGACTCCTAGTGACCCTGTGCAGGGTTTCAGGGAGCGGCTGGTGAGTTTCAACTACCAACCTTGTGGTTCAAACTAACCTTGCGGTTGAGTGCTTATCCTCCAGCACCACAGCAAATAGTGGCTTGAAAATCCACCCAAACAATTTGATCCCACTGCAGTCCAGCTAGGGGATTGGTTAGCTTTGTCATCC